GACAGGTGCTCAGAACCGTGTGAACTTTGAGAGAACTTTGAGTCATTTCAAGGTGACTTTACGTTAAGGACATAAAGTCATTGGTGGGGCCATAATTCATAGGATATCACCCAAACTGCTGTATGAAAATACTTTGGGTTATAGCATAGGAAGCCATGTTGCTAAAGTCTTGGTAATTATGTTTAATAGTGGCGCAGCAAAGCCGTTAGGACAAATTGTTTGCGAAAAACCATCAAGAGTAGGACGGCTTACAAGGAGCTGTGTGTCATTCATGTGACAGTATTTTGATTGGTTCTCTTGTTGGAATTTGCACTGCCTCTCGTCTACCAATCAGATCAGTGCAACCAAATCAATGCAACCAGCTGACCACACCTGGCTGCGAAAATGCCGCATTGAAAAAACGTTAGCAAATGTAAGTTACATTACTTTGAAGACGGCCTCAGTGCACAATGATACATACCATTGACTGTTCAAAAGTAACCCTCCCAACATAAATTGTGTCTTTTGTGTAAGTATCAGACACTGAGGGGTTTGACCGAGTGTTGGTTTTGGAATTTAGGTATACATTCCTAATTTAAATTTAAATCTACAAACAAAATATTAGGTGGACAGACAGATGTATTTTTTTTCCTCAAATAACTTTAAAGTAAACCTGAAAGAAAGCATTCAATATTTTTCTTGCACATTCCCTGTAGTTTGTTTAAGGAAGTATTTGCATTTTAAAAACTGTATATGGTCTACGCCAATTTTGCAGGAAAAATAATCTACCTAAGAGAACTAAAATAAAGGCATTACAGCCTTTTCACCTTAAACACAGTCTGCCATCTAACCTAAAAACTTTCATCTAAAATTCAGTGTTTGTGTAGACCCTTCCCTGTATTATCTGAAACACTACTGTATTTTACAGTCTGTGCATACAACATTGCTTTGAAGAAACATTGTGGAATGAAGACTACAGTAATTTAGGACAATTGGCTGTGTTTGAGAGTAGACGAGTAAAAAGCAATTAAAACGCACTCATTAGGAGTCAGAATTTAAATAATGATGAAACCAAACCAAAGCTCTATTCATAATTCATCACATATTATAATGTCTTTATTAAGGCGTAATTTCAAAGTGGATATTTCAAACCAAAGCACACTTACTGTATGTGTTCTGGCTACAAAGCCTTCAAAAGACTGTTAACCATAACACCCAGTACCACACATAATGTGTGTCGCATTTTTAAAAGGACTCCCATTGTTACAAGCAGACAATACAGACTGCTCACACTGGAAGAGGAGAGGAGGAGTGCCTTGGCAGTCTTTCTTTGAGAAGTCTTTGCAGAAGTCGGATGACATTTATTCCATCTAACACTGGTAGGATGCTGTGATAAAATGTGCCAAACTGTTGTTTGCGTCCTTTCAAAAGATTCTTGTTTGTGTGTTGCTGTTTTTTTTCTTCTTTCTTTCCTTTTACAAGGACTTTGAAATGTGCCGCAACTTTAGTGGGAGGTGATGGTGAGTATTGGACAAGGCCAACCTCCATATTCTTACAAATGTGGATCTGGAAAAGAAAAGTTCAGCACAATGCCACTTTGTGTCTGAGAAAAGTAGAGTCTGTTAAAAGGAGACACTTCATAGAACAAAGTGTGTGAGGAATTATGGGTAATTCATTGTTTCATCACACGATAAATGAGATAATATGAACTTCAGAGATATTCAGAGATAATTCAGTTGTGTTTTCTTTCTCAGGATGAAGATAAACTTAAAGGTCCAGTGTGTAGGATTTTGGGGGAAATATTGGCAGAAATGAAATATAATTTAATAAGTGTGTTTTCTTTAGTGTATAATTACCTAAAAATAAGAATCATTGTGTTTTTGTTACCTTAGAATGAGCCATTTATATCTACCCAGGCAGAGGGTCCCATAGATGTATAAAGATTTGCATTTGTGGCAGGGCCCCATTCATTCCTATTAAAGCTGCTCCGTGGCACATGAAGCCAAAATGGTTCAACTGCTTTGTATGAAATTACCTGGATGACCAGCACTGCTTCTGCACCGTGCAGCCCATAGAGCAGGTGCACTACAGACTTCTGGGAGTTAGCTGGCTAACTTCCAGTTTCTAGGAGTTAACTTCTACTTGAACGGAGATAAAATAACTCACTTGTGCAGCTCGTCTAGACTTTCCAAATGTTATAGGACCGAATGGATTAAATCCCAATAGTGGGGGTTGACACTCAAAAAAAAAAATGTATCCACTGATTTACAGACGTCTCTTTTGCCATGTAAGTCAATGGGAAAAACAAGTCTTTTTGGGCTGCAGGGCATCACATGACTGCCCCAGAGGCTGTATTTCCACTGGTTGGCCACTAATAAAAAAAATTGGCTTCAAAGCCCGTCAACTTCCTGGGGGCCTGGCAGGTCCCCTTCTTTGGAGTCTGCCATCTTTTTACAGTCGCCCAGAACAGAAAAACCAAACACTGGCTCTTGATAGGGCCATTCAAATTTTTGTGTTTTTGGATCAGCCACAATAGTTAGAGGCCCCTCCAGGAAACTGCTTTATTCTGTGTTTTTCTGACAATTCAGCTCTTGGTGAAAACCTCCTGAACGTCTGGGGCCTGTTGCACAAAACACCTTAACATTTTCCTTAGTCTGAGTTAAGTTTTCCTTGAAAAAGAAATGGGTTGCACAAAACATCCTCAAGTCTTCTCCTTGAGGTTTCCCTTAAATGCTTACTGAAGGATTTCCGTTTTTCTCCTTATCTTGGTCTTATACTTAAGGAACTGCTTAAAGGTTAAGAACTTTCATAACCAAAGTAAGAACAAAAACATAAAGTACCTCTAACTCCATCTTAACTGCAACATGGTAGATGTTATGGAGATAAATTAGAAAAATTAAGGTATCCCGAGAAAAGTATTCCACGCCCAGGAGAATTCAATGGACATGCTTAATGATGAGCAACTGATTTTGCACTTTAAATTCTACCAGAAGTTGATTTATGTTAGTGACCATCTGGGGTTGGATCACTCACCTTTCTGAAGCTGCACTCCTCCAGCCCCTTTATAATAAACAATTGCTCTGCGGTTTTATGCTACAGTATCTTTCCAGTCAGTTATTGGCGATGCATTTCATGTAAGCCTTGAGGAGCACACTTGCTTTGCTTTAAGCAACTACCTCCTGGATCTTAAATTATCAGAGAAAAAAGGTGACCACAGATTAGCAGGTGCTTAGTCTCGCTCACCAGACCTTTCTCAAGAAAAGAAAGGTCTGGCTGGGCAGACTCTCACTTTAAAATTGAAGAAAAAAAAAACGCCCCAGCTGCTTGTAAAAATTGCTGTTTTGTTTTGTTTTTTTGCTGAGTGTTTTTACAGGTTTAAAATCACCTGGTCTGTTTGTTTTGGAGAGGAAGAAGAGATTCATGATTAAAACCTTCTGAATGTTTGGTTAAAAAATAAGTTGAGCAGACATTAAATTAACAGAGAAAACAGGTGAGCACACTTTAGCAGGTGCTTGTTGAGCGGCCCGTCTGTGATGTGCCAAACAGTGTAGGAGAAACACTTACTTGTAATATGAAAAAGCTTTATTCAGTGTTTTTACCATTTTAAATCATGGGGTCTGATTGATTTGGAGAGGAAGAGACCTCTGCGGATAATTTGGCTCCCAATAAAGCTGGATCTTAAGTTATCACAGAAAAAGGTAAACACACATTAGCAGGTGCTGGGCTAACAACCTGTCACCGACATGTTGAACATCACCAGAGAAACACTGATTTGGGACAGGAAATTGCCTTATTCAGTGTTTTTACTGGTTTAAATCACCAGTTAAATTTCTTTTGGAGAGCAGAGCTCTGTGGAAAATGTGGTTCTTGGTAAAAACCTCCTGAATGTCTGGATCAGAAATAAGATTAGCTCAAAATGAGTTATCAGGGGAAATAGGTGAGCACACATTAGCAGGTGCTGGGCTAGCAGCCTGTCTGTGACCTACCAAACAAGCTCAGGAAGAGACCTCTGGGGATAATTTGGCTCCTGATAAAACCCTACCAAACAAAGAACACTGAAGAAATTCTAACCAAGAGAAGTTTCAGCTGGTTGCAATGTTCAGTCCTCACTGCTTGATGCCACTAAATCTTACACACTGAACCTTTAAAAAAAAGAATTAGCAGTGCTACATGACAATGGGATGAGTGTATAACTCTTGATGGCGCTCCCTCCTGATAGCGTAGCCTCCCCTCCGTACTGCTAGGTTAAAGATCAAAGGAAGTAGGAAGTGTCGCTCAGCAGTTCCTCTCCCATCAGCCATTGGGAGAAACGTGTGTGTAACGGACAGCTCAAGACTTGCTCCGCTGGATCTCCCGTGATGAATTATTCAGCTGCTCCGATGTGGTGACAAAACGCACGGTGTCAGAAAACCAGACACGACTTCATCAGCAAAATGCTTGAGCTCTTTCATGCCCCTCCTCCACCTCCTCCTTGTCCCGCTTCTCTACCAGTCCCCCCCCCCCGCAGTAATTTCATTTTCACCTCCGCTCAGGATCCCGTGAGTGAAAGTGCTGGTTCTGGGCAGGCGGACGGAGGAGGCCAACTAGGCTGGGTGTCCCTTTGTCCTTGCTGGCTGTGGAGCCTCAGACCATCCATCTCTGTCAGAGGCAAGCATCTCAAGAACCCTCTCTCCCCTTCTCCCCCTCCGCTCACTCCGGAGGCCCTGTCTCGCAGGCACGTCAGTGCTAAATGGAGCCTTTACACAGTATTGACTGGCCCCACAAGTCTCTCCTCTGGCCATGCTGGGCAGATTGGGAAGCAGCCTATCATATTTTTCCTCTTCTGCTTCCCATGTTGGATCGTGCACGCAGCAGGTGAAAGGAGGGATGATTACAAAAGCTGGAGGAGGCTGTGATGAAAATAAAATGGGGCTCTGTCTCGCGGTGTGACACTGGCGATGGCTTTGCGGCGGGTAAAGTGCACACGTTTGCACACACTGCTGTCACCTTGTGTGTCTGTGAGTCAATTATCAAGGCATTGAACCGGCGTGACAATGTCTCTTCACTCCTCAATATTGCTTCAAGAGCACACAATGCTGCTGGCAAGTGGATCCATAGCCGACAAGGACAAAAGACTTTAAAGACGTTTAGGCAATACTCTGTTGTTTTTGGAAAGAAGTTATTGTTACTGACCTTTAATAACCTAAGGCGCAAAGAGAACTAGACTCATTTATATACTGTAATAATGATATTAGTATCATGTACATTTTTAACACTATTTCCACCAGGACAACAGAAAAGGGAATCTTTGCCAATATTTTAAACAGCTCTGTGTCACAGCAGGGTGGGCAGTTTGCGCAGATGAAAGGTGTTTTGCTTCATTTTGTGCTGCCCAAAGCTCCCCGCTCATCTGCCACTGGGGGTCCTCAGGTTTTGCCTCATCAGTTGGACTTTTGCTGGTGGATAGGTGGGTGCTCCAGGCACTAGCAACCTAGAGGAAGGCAGAGTGTTATTCATTAGATGTTAGTGCCAATGTGGCAACAATGGAGAGCTGGTAGGAAATTGGCATAATTAGCCATAATGAATGCATTTTTTTTTTTTACAAGCCTTGATCTCAATTAGCGATCACATTGATTTACAGTGAATATTACTTTATGTAGGTGCACTCCATGGACTTGATGCTCAGCCCGGATGCTTTCTGTTGAGATGCTGAAGTAGTGATGATGTGCTATTGTGGTAGGCTAGTTTGGTTTGCTTAAAATTAAATTAAAATTATACTGTGACTTGGCCGCCAGACATGGCAGACTACACGATGGTCCACGATTAATCATCCCTGTACGTCTTTAATGACGTGTGTGATGTCATCAGATTATTCTTTTCCTATTTTCTACTTTTTTCAGTAACTATGGCTGGTTATGTGCCAGCCGAAATGTTGTAGTAGCACAAAAAGCGCCACCAGATGTGATGAGCTACATTAGAAGTATATGTACATGTTGCATGTAAACTATGCAAGTCACTGAATCCTCCACAACAGGTTCCTGCCAATGTTTCACAATAAAAGCCTTTTAAGAAAATGAAGGGATTCTCTCAACCACAGTTATATTTAACTGGCTACCACCCTTGAAATTCAACACTCAACCTACACAATTGTTTGATATTGAAAGTCACCCAGCAGCTGAATGAGCATAGCCCCCTACTTTTTCTGTAAAGAGTGGGAAATCTACACGAAGTATATATTGACAGTAACTTATTAGGGAAAAAATGTATTTGTTTTCAATTTAATTCTTCAATTTTATTGTATTTTCTATTTCTCTGCAAAGCACCTAGGCTGACATTTGCTGTTTTTAGATGTGCTCTATGAATAAATTGACTTAAAATAACAGAGTTGATGCAACTGAAATGACTATTGACAGAAATTAGTATTTCTGTTAAAAAGAGAAACATGGTGTTAAGTTTAACGCGTCATTGGTATTGTGATGATGTAATTATTGCTGTGGAAATGTATTGAACATATGCACATACAGTACAGGCCAAAAGTTTGGACACACCTTCTCATTCAATGTGTTTTCTTTATTTTCATGACTATTTACATTGTAGATTCTCACTGAAGGCATCAAAACTATGAATGAACACATGTGGATTTATGTACTTAACAAAAAAAGGTGAAATAACTGAAAACATGTTTTATATTCTAGTTTCTTCAAAATAGCCACCCTTTGCTCTGATTACTGCTTTGCACACTCTTGGCATTCTCTCCATGAGCTTCAAGAGGTAGTCACCTGAAATGGTTTCCACTTCACAGGTGTGCCTTATCAGGGTTAATTAGTGGTATTTCTTGCTTTATCAATGGGGTTGGGACCATCAGTTGTGTTGTGCAGAAGTCAGGTTAATACACAGCCGACAGCCCTATTGGACAACTGTTAAAATTCATATTATGGCAAGAACCAATCAGCTAACTAAAGAAAAACGAGTGGCCATCATTACTTTAAGAAATGAAGGTCAGTCAGTCTGGAAAATTGCAAAAACTTTAAATGTGTCCCCAAGTGGAGTCGCAAAAACCATCAAGCGCTACAATGAAACTGGCACACATGAGGACTTACCCAGGAAAGGAAGACCAAGAGTCACCTCTGCTTCTGAGGATAAGTTCATCCGAGTCACCAGCCTCAGAAATGGCAAGTTAACAGCAGCTCAGATCAGAGACCAGATGAATGCCACACAGAGTTCTAGCAGCAGACCCATCTCTAGAACAACTGTTAAGAGGAGACTGCGCCAATCAGGCCTTCATGGTCAAATAGCTGCTAGGAAACCACTGCTAATGAGAGGCAACAAGCAGAAGAGATTTGTTTGGGCCAAGAAACACAAGGAATGGACATTAGACCAGTGGAAATCTGTGCTTTGGTCTGATGAGTCCAAATTTGAGATCTTTGGTTCCAACCGCCGTGTCTTTGTGAGACGCAGAAAAGGTGAACGGATGGATTCCACATGCCTGGTTCCCACTGTGAAGCATGGAGGAGGAGGTGTGATGGTGTGGGGGTGTTTCGCTGGTGACACTGTTGGGGATTTATTCAAAATTGAAGGCACACTGAACCAGCATGGCTACCACAGCATCCTGCAGCGACATGCCATCCCATCCGGTTTGCGTTTAGTTGGACGATCATTTATTTTTCAACAGGACAATGACCCCAAACACACCTCCAGGCTGTGTAAGGGCTATTTGACCAAGAAGGAGAGTGATGGAGTGCTGCGGCAGATGACCTGGCCTCCACAGTCACCGGACCTGAACCCAATTGAGATGGTTTGGGGTGAGCTGGACCGCAGAGTGAAGGCAAAGGGGCCAACAAGTGCTAAACACCTCTGGGAACTCCTTCAAGACTGTTGGAAAACCATTTCAGGTGACTACCTCTTGAAGCTCATGGAGAGAATGCCAAGAGTGTGCAAAGCAGTAATCAGAGCAAAGGGTGACTATTTTGAAGAAACTAGAATATAAAACATGTTTTCAGTTATTTCACCTTTTTTTGTTAAGTACATAATTCCACATGTGTTCATTCATAGTTTTGATGCCTTCAGTGAGAATCTACAATGTAAATAGTCATGAAAATAAAGAAAACGCATTGAATGAGAAGGTGTGTCCAAACTTTTGGCCTGTACTGTATGTATTCTACATTGTAATGTACCGTATATACAAAGCTACAGGCATCAGGCTTTTTCATGCTGGCTTTTATTTATCTGAGTACACAGTGAGTTCTTAATTTATTCACCTGGGAGTTCAGAGATGACCCTATTTCTGTTTAACCATTTGTCGAGGTTAGTCCCATTTAGGTAATATTAATGCTGTAGACAAAGCAATAATAATACTAACAATAAGCTATTGCAATTATATTAACACAGATAATAGTGAGCCTTTTTCACATTATTTGATTAAAAGCTCAGAATCAGGTTTATTGCCAAATTAGTATTCAGATACAAATAATTTGCCTTTGTGCATTGACACATAACATGAACATAGAGAAAATGAAATGAAAACAAGTATTGCAAATAAAGAAATAAATATAGAACAGAAGAAAATTCCGATAAAATATTAAGCACTATAAAAATATGTACAATATATCTAAATAAAAATGAAAGAGCAGTGCAGTTTTTAGAAGTGGTAGTTTCTCCAAGGAATGAGCAGAGGTTCACAGTACAAAGTATAAATAAAAGTATTTAAAAAAAGCAATGTACAGTGTACAAAGATAGAGTCCCAAAGATGTGCGTTTATGTAGTGCATACAGATGAATAGATGTGAAGCCGTCAATATAACCAGTGGTGTCTGTGGGGGGGAATGAGAGTCTGTGGTGTTCCTAATGACATTAATGATTGCTCTGTTCTATTCAAGAGTCCCAGTGAGTCATGACAGTGTGACAGTGATCAGCATGAACAATACCAGGACCCTGAAAGTGAAGCAGCTAAATGGAATTTAGCCATCATCTAATTTTTTCATTTGACGGGTGCTTGTCTTACTGTGACATGTTAAAGTGTCTTCTGTGAAACTGAAAAGGCCAAAAGTGACAAAGGTCTGTGACTCCATTTATCCTAAATTAAAATGTTTATGATAAATTAAGTCATTTGCCAAATTTACAATTCAGTCAGACAGCTCACGTTTTAAATCTTTACTTCAACAGCAGAACATAGTTAGTATTTGGAGCCTAGACTCCGGCCTCATCGCTCCCCGCATATATGTTTACATGAGATATTGGGCTTGCCAAGGGTACCAGATGTGCTCAGGCCACCACTGACCAACATTGTAAGTTAATTTTGAAAAAATAGGATGCATGTTAACAAGCATAAATGGAGACAACATCCTGGTGCCACAACAACAAATGCAGGAGGATACCTAGCACATGATACATAGACGTGAACTGAACTGACCAAGCGGCGTATGTGTCTTGTTGGGAAGAGAAAGGCTTGGTAACTCTGGAGAAAGATAGATGATTGTTGAGTCTCATCTCAGGTTGTTAAATACTGATGCTTTGGGCTGGTACTTAAGCCTGTCATGAATAACAAATTTTGCTGGGCAATTAAATGCGTCAGAAATTATTGTGATAAGCGATAATATTGCGTAATATTGTGCTTTTAAGACCATTTTTATTATTGTTGTAATTTTGCTGTTTTTAGAAAAAATTTTAAACTTATATAACGATAATAAAGGCATAAAAAAGACAATTTAAATATCCGAAATAACACGTAAAAATCTAATAAATAAATAAATACAAAAAAATAGACTCTCAGTCTCTCACTCTCAGGTGTGCAGTTAAGTTGGTCATGTTCACTCTTTTTGTTGAGATGGTTTTAGAACAAACCCGGCACACCGGCTCATCCAAATTACTGGGCTCCCCTCTTTCATTTGGTTTAAATCCAAAACACTCCCACACAGGGGCCGTGTCATTTGGTTTAGGAACAAGTTCCCTGGCTTTCTCTTATGCTAAACTGTTTTTTTTCCCTTCTCCGCCTCGTCTCCCCTTCACTAAGATCGCACTGTGTGTGTGTAGCCCATAGCCCCGCCTCCCCCACAGAGACAAAGACACTCGATGACGAGAGCTTTCCCTCCATTCATTACGCTGAACTCACCTGGCTGCCAGACGATGCACGGCAGTGAACGCTCTTGTCGTCCAGTCTCTTTGGTGGAGAGAGACGAGGAAAACAAACATGCATGAATATGGCAATTAATCGCGGCTGGAAAAGTTACCGTCTCCCTTTTAATTTACTGTGCAATTAACCAACTTATGGCAAATCGCGACAGGCCTACTGGTACTTTGGTCTGACCATCAACCCAAAGCATCAGTATTTGATGAATACGGACGCGTTTCAGCACTTGGCTTGAGGAAAGCCAAGTGCTGAAACGCGTCCCTTTTTGATACTGCTGTGCGTTATTAAAAGACTGATATAGAGACTAATATACATGATATTTGTGAGTGCTGACATTTGGATTTATTCAGTTTGTGATTTTTGGGTCGGCACCCAGTGAATCAATTATTATCCTTTTGTTTGGAGCCTACACTTCCCATAATGCAACTCAATTGCAACTTTCTAACTCTGCGCCTCCAGTTCGTAACACAGACTACCTGTAAAGAATGTGAGTAGTAACTGGGTAGACCTTAGGTAGATTAGTAATATACTTTGAAAAAAGGGAAATTAATAAAACTGGAGATGGTTGCTTTGTCTTTTTTCTTTATTTTTGGACTCAATTATTTCCATAACTAACTATTTTAATAATGAAGTATAACAGTAGCTAACACAGTTTCGGTGCAAGCAGCTGTCAGATTCACATTGTGCTTTTCATCACATCCAGATTTTCTTATTGTGTGTCCTGTTCAGCAGCCACATCTCATATCTTGGCACATTAAAATTCAGAAATAGGCTTATTAAAAAGTGTCCATGCAATAATAAAACTGACAAAAATAAACCAAATAAATTTGTTATAATCTATAAACGCATTTCAGGGCTCTGGGTTTTTCATATTTTCACTCTATGCTGAAAAGAATGGAAAACAATGGCTGCCTGGAAGAGGATAAAAACACATCTACAGCAGTGGAAGGTGTTTGACAGTCATCTAAAAAATAATATTTGTAGGGATATGCATGCAAACAACTGGTTTGTGTCCATCCCTGCTGGTTCACCGGGGGAAATCCTCCGTCCTCCATCCCTCTCCCCCCGTGTCTCTCTCCTGGAGCTCCATCTGTAAGTCCTCTGTCATGAAAGCTAAAGTCCCTCTATTTCCCAAAGGGAGCGGGAATCAAAACCTGCCATTCGTATTCCCAGCACAGACCTGCATCCATCAATCATCTCATCTAACACTGGCTGAGGCTCAAAAGGAGCTATTCTCTTTCTGGAGTCCCTCTACATGTATTGAAGGGACGTGTCTTAGAACAAAAGGCGAGGAGTGCCAATAAATCCCCTAAGATTGAATGACATTAAGCTGTTAGAAGGAAATGGATCCGGCATCAGGGGCACTTTGAAAACTTCTGCCTCAACTTACAGAATTATAAATGAAGATATGTGCCTTAAATACTGGCTTGTGTAACGGCAGAGGCATACTGTGTTGATGTTACAGTGCATGTTAGCTGGAGGGAGCAGTATGGAGGAGGGTGTGAGAAGAATGATGAATGTTGCGGAATGCTGAAAGATCAGCGTATGCTCTAACAATATGACAGCCTCTCATTACTGCAGAGGGATATCACATGTTTGGACCATTAGAGGGCTTCAAATGGAGTCTGTTCAGCCATGTTTAAAAGAAAAATGTTTAGTTCATCTTTTCACAGGTTTGTTGTGTGGTTTTAATTTTAGAAATATATGAATATAATATAACACCCTGGCTAACAGAATGACACTGTGGGTGTGTGCCTGGAAATGTGACTCCAAAGTGCAGAAGAACATAAAGAAGTTTAGCCCCTGGAATCAGGGCCGGAATAACATATTATGAGGCCCTGGGGGGAAAATTATTTTGGGCCCCTGCTGACCCCCCACGTATTGCAGTCTGTGCATTGTTTTTGTCACCTCTGAGTCCCCATTAAGGCCAGCATATACAGTACTTACATCATGAAATAATAATTTGTAGAGTTTGTGTGGTGTCAGTAATAGAGTTTGTGTTAATTAGATAACTAATAAATAAAATAGATGTAATATGTGACACTCCTATAAGAGACTGATAGTTGATTACTTATTATAGTGTGTAATGGACCAGTAGGTTCGGCTGCTGGAGCAGAGGGAAATGCTTAAATGAGACTCAAAGACAAAAGGTTTGATTTAGAATATGCCGGCTTCTAATTGCAAAGTAAAGAAAAAAAATAAACTACAAAATAAACTATCAATACCACTTACAGTGAGAGTAGTAACACAAGTTTTGTTAAACCACAGTTGAAATCACATTAACAATTACTCTTTGTTCAAATTCAAACTGAAATTGTTTCACCCTTTAAACCAAATACACAGTAATAAACCTTCAATTCACAGTTCCTTTCTGATCAGATTCAATTCAAACACAGTTGACAGTACACAATCACTGCTCTACTTACATTCATGGGCGGATTTAGCTATTTTGGGGCCCTCCACATCCTTTAATTGATCCTTTTATTGTTGTGGTGCTGAAATGAGAAGATAACACACAAAACAACAACAGGTTAATTATACAGATATATACATTTTAACAGAATATACACATATTATTTTTTACCAGCAGTCTCTCTGATAGAATGTTCAGGATGGGTCAAATACAGAGAATTGATTTCACTAGATAAGATGTACTTTCATGACTTTCATGACTGTATTTGTGACAGAGATGATTTACCTTTACACAGCTCAAATATGGGCAGCAGCAGCAAGCAGGTTCAGCCAGTACATGCTCTATGTGGTGCTGAAATGAGAAGATAACACACAAAACAACAACAGGTCAATTATACAGATACATGCATTTTAACAGAATACACATGTATTATTTTTTACCTTTTGTCCCTCTCTCTTTCTGTCCCTTTTTCTCATTGTCTTTCTCTCCCTTTTTCTCGTCTTCCTCTCCCTATTTTCTTTCTCTCTCCCTGTCCCTTTTTGTCATTGTCTATCTCCCTTTTTTCATACTTCTGTCCTTTTACTCATTGTCTTCCTCTCCTTTTTTCTCCTTTTTTTCCTTTTTCCTCAACCTTAAACATCTACAGCAGTAAATTATAACACACATTAAAGCAACATTAATACAAAGCTATAACACTGACAGGGATCATTTTAATTCAGAGTGAGTAGCTGTTAATAATTTACTTACATACTTTGCAATGTTTTGAATGCATAACGTAAAGGAATACTTATCAATATAGAAAAAAATTTACCCCTTGGACAGTTTTGCTAACATTACTCACTGGTTGTTCATCTTGATCTCCACACGACGGACCCTCCTGAACGGATGTCGACGGATGTCACCGGTTGATTGTTGCTGGTGGTGACGGTGAAAAAACTAGTGACTTTTGTCAATTTTGTGTCAAATTTTCTACTCTCCTGCTTCTTTCTCCTTTTCTCAGCTCTGCTGGGGTAACTTCTTTTCATTTCTCTCAACTTTGTCGTTGTTGTTGTCTTCTTTTCTCCTCTCTCTTCTCTGCGCCAAGCCGTTTGTTTTGCTGCTGTCTTCCTGAATCCTTTCGGCACATGCACAGTAAGATGGACTAATCCAATGTAGTGGGGATTGAAGGGGGGGCCCCGAGACACACATAATACAATAAGCATTCTGCTGGCATTTTTAGCTAAAGGATTTTAATCAAAAACATAAATAATGTGTGCAAATAAGAAAAAACTCTATTTGCAATAAATGTATGAGGAGTTTTATGGGGCCCTCAGAAACGTGGGGCCCCAGGCAACCACCTAGTTTTGCCTAATGGTAAGTCCGCAGCTGCTTACAACTACCACTGTGCTGGAAAATATCCTGCCACTCAGTCATCAGTTCCCTGAGATGAAAATGTGAGTTTTTTTTTTAATTCTATTACTCAACAGTAATAGTAAATAAAAGTAAAATGTGAGTTGGGGAATATGTGTGTGTGTGTGTGTGTGTGTGTGTGTGTGTGTGTGTGTGTTGGGGGGAAAAGGGGGATTGATAAGTATGAGTATGAGTGTAGCAGCTGGCCTACCACACTACCGAGTGCAGTAGAAACAGGATGCATTCAGTGACCATGGCAGTATCTAGGTCCTGTTGGGAAGGCTCGCCGTCAGCATCAAAGATCCAAAGGTATAAACAAAATAAAACAAAGAAACAAAAAAACCTGACCTGACAACAGACAGTGTCAGAAAAATATCATTAGTTTTTCTTTAACTAGTGTTTCCCTATTAAAAGTAGTTTTCTCCTTTTTTTTCAAATCACACATTCCATCAATATCAACCTTTAAATACAGAATAACACAATATGTGGGCTTTAAACCTTACTACTTCAGTAACCAAAATATACACTGACACATCTGCAGAATAATAATTACTTTCATCCATTTTATATCCTAATGTAAACCAAAACACTTTTTTCTCTACAAAGTATCTTCTCCCAGCTTACAATAAACAATAAGGGCATTAAAAAGGACTCAGTGAGGTTCAAGTTATATAAAATTTCTCATAAAAAATAAATAATTCTCACCGATCTCTCTTATCGGACTGGGCGCCTTCACATGAAATGGCGGCGCTCAGTTAGCTCACAGCGTCAGAGTCGGAGTGATACAGGCGAAGTGTGTGTGGGAAGGTCACGGACATCAAAGGGTCCACCGCTGTTGGAGCTAACGGCTATTAGCATGAGGCTACTAGAGCTGGAGCTAGTGACTGTGCTAATTCACTTTTCTCTCTTCATTCACTTTTCTCTCTTCATACGTCTCAGCATACAGCTTATATTATAACGATTAACTGGTATTTTCTGACGTTTTATCAACTTTTTCAGTCTTCTCACTAACCCTTTTAGCAGCACTCCGCACAACGTTGTCCCGTCTTGTCGCACACTCCGGAATAAAGATGAAGAATACACACACTTGCTCACTCTCCCAAGATGGGAGCAGGGGGGTGGGACAGATGGGGTCAGATAATTGCTGATTGGCCCAAGGTATCCCGTCAATCTCTTGTGATGTGTTCAGTGGATATTTAATGCTCTGTTATTTAGACAACTCTTATGTTATTTCGAATTAAATAACAATATTGCAGTACTCTTATACTTAGGTTTGTTTGTCTATTTTGTTCTGTGAGTCGCTACCATGTGGGTTACATAGACAACACAAATTGAACTTAATTCAGTTCAATTCTTTTTTATTTATATAGCCCAATATTGCAAATCACAATTTGCCTCAGAGGGCTTTACAGCATACAACATCCCTCTGTCCTTTGGACCCTCACAGCGGATAAGGAAAACATTTACAGTGATCCAAATGACAAAAATGATACATAAAGAGAAGGAGGGACAGAGAGAGATGCAGGGCAGACGGTAATGGCAATAGCTACAATAACATAATAATAATTTTAGTAATAATAAAGAATTTTGGTAGTATATATGTTATAAGTACATACTAATATATAATAGTATATGTTTGTGATAATAACATGTGTTTATGTGTATAATAATAGTGGAAGTATGACTAATAATAACTGCTCTGGCCCCAGGGATACATTTGACTATGGTCACTGGAGTCTCTTTAAGGTTAAACTTCATGTAACTTAACGTGAGGAAAAATGGTTAGAAACATGAATGAATTGGTGGTGAACTGTTGGCTTCAGCTTAGCACTACAGCTTAGCCTCCCAGCTGCACAGGGGCTGCCAGAGGACTGCTAGCAGAAGCTATGCTATGTGGCTCCGTGCCAGCTACAGGGGGATGGGTAACTACCACCATTCTACAACTTAGAATGCAGAACCTGCCATAGATAATATTATGCTTTTGTTGGGAAAATTCCTCAACAAATTCAACAGTCTATCAAATTACAAAAAACGAAATGACATGCAGTGAACTTGTGCCTTTTGGGTAACTTTGGCTAAGGCTAGAGGTCAGTTGCCTGTTTTGCACAGCTGGTAAATCAGCATTGCCTGGAATTGCAATGAGTCACGCCAGACTCAGGGTAAACATTAATTCTGAAAGAAGAAGTTTTTTAAAAAAAAAATCACTTGCTGCTCTGGCTTTCTGGTGTCAATAGTTATCTCAACAGGCCCAGATCAGTAAATATCTCACCATTGTATGAAAATCACTGCAATGTATAAAAAATCACAAAATCTAATTAAAATCACAGCATTGTATAAAAATCATAGCATCAAAAGAAATCATGGGATCGTATATAAAATCACAGCATCAAATAAAAAGCAGAGCATTTCATACAAATCGCAGCATTGCACAAATTCACAGAACTGTAGAAAAATCAAAGCATAGAACAACACATAGAAGCAAGAACTGTGTTAGGCTATAAAAGTCTTATGTGCCACAGAAGAAGATATGATTATGTACATTTAAAAGCCACTGAAAGTCCAATATTGTCTAAAATTTCTTATATATGAATATTTAAGAACATTTACACACTCAAAACTGATTTTGTTTGACAAAGTGGCAGATCAGTGCAGCTTATCTGGTCCTGCCTGGCTATCACAAAAAGTTTCTCTGCAAAATTTCAGTTCCTTTTGGTGTCAATTGTTGCGATTCAGCTTGATATCCTGGTATATTGTCACCTCTATACATGGATTTAAAATTAGAAGATGTAAATCTTTAAGAACAGCTCACAGATATAGTGTAATTTAAGGCGGGAACTGCCCATTGTTCCGACATCCCATTGTTCCGACCATATTAAACCCATTGTTCCGAAGTCCCGTTGTTCCGAAATCATCATGATGCCCTGTGGTTAAGGTCTGGTTAGGTTTAGGCACAAAAACCACTTGGTTAGGGTCAGGAAAAGATCATGGTGTGGGTTAAAATGAAAAAGAAAGTGACAAACACATAAGCCGTGAGCCTGCTTTTCTTCAAGCCTTTCCCAGCTGACCCAGAGCTGGTCGCGGCGCACCATCAAGGTAGTAATATGCCCGCCGGGAGCCGTTCAGCACCTTTTTCCGTCGGACTAATGGGATGTCGGACCAATGGGCTGTCGGACCAATGACATGGACCCATTTAAGGCTCAGTCATGTCCTAAAACAACTGGTAACTGTAGGTTTAAGCAAACATTAAGTCGGATATGCACCCTAAAATCTCCTTCATGCTTTGAGAGAACAGGGTATTGTATTTGGTAGATGGGCTCTAGTAGGTGAAGTTTAGAATGTGATTTTTCTTTCTTTATACTTGGGCTGATTTAGAGAGCAGTATTTTATTGATAGGCCTTGTGGCAGTGATCAGGATGTTCTTTTTTAGTAGAGTTCAGAAACAGCAGTGCAGCAGGGAAACATTGCTTGGCTTTATTTATAATGACAACTTCATATTACATAATGCTACTGAAAAAGCTTGAAGAAGGAAAAAAAAATAGTTAAATCCAGTAAATGATCTCCATGACAACTGAGCACCTCCATCTAAAAGGGAACAAATAAGCACGAAAGACTATTCTTGACCTCGGAATTACTGTGATCACTGCGGGATCTCACTCTCACTCATTTGTGACAAACTAATCTCAACCCAAGGTCCACTGGCTGGCTTTCTTGCAGCCTTATTACACCCACTTACCAGTGAGAGGACCTTGTTCTGAGATTATTTTGTCACACATGCTATTCCCAGTATAAAATTATTTTGTTACAAATATTATGTATCCTGTTATTGTGTAATCTAACTTAAAAACAGATATTTGCACATGTATGCAGAATCTGTAGGTCATGGTACGAGATTTGGGTAATTTAGCTGTATTTAACATTATCAAACCAATAGCCGTTGGGTTCCGAGACTGATTATTATGGAACTGAGATCCTGTTCTTAGGTCTCACGGGTTTGGTAGCAGAAAAGCCACTGGAAAAGCGACAAAGCACCCATGATTGTTAGCACAAAAGGTGCTGGAAAACTGGTGACGGGTCACTAAAAAACACCCATGTTCAACCATGCACTGGAAAAGCAGTGACAGGGAAAAGACCTACATTCAGAGGCACAGGGGCTGGTGGAAGAAACTGACAGGTCACTAAAAAAACCCGCATTCTGTGGCGCAAGAAAAATAGGAATGAATCGCTAAGAAACACCCATTTTCAAAAAGCAGCTGGGAAACGGCAGCTGATTGCTAAAGAACACCCAGAGTTAACCAGCAAAAGACGCTTGAAGAACAGTGCCAGGTTGCTATATAAACCTACATTTTCTGGCACAAAAGCTGCTGGAAAAGTGGCGACGGGGCGACAGTAGCTCAGTCCATAGGGACTTGGCTTGGGAACCTGAGGGTCACCGCCTGGACCAAACATGGAACGTGGACTGGTAGCTGGAGAGGTGCCAGTTCACCTCCTTGGCACTGCTGAGGTGCACTTGAGCAAGGCAGCCCCCTCACTCTGACATCTCTCCATTTAATACATGTATAGGCCCTGTTTGTGCAT